AAGATCTCCCTCTTCCAGGCCATGCAGAAGGAGCTGATCGTCAGGGACCACGGCATCCGCCTGCTCGAGGCCCAGATCGCCACCGGCGGCATCATCGACCCCGTGCACAGCCACCGCCTGCCCGTGGAGGTGGCCTACAAACGGGGCTACTTCGACCAGGAGATGAACCAGATCCTGTCCGACCCCACTGACGACACCAAGGGCTTCTTCGACCCCAACACCCACGAGAACCTGACCTACCTGCAGCTGCTGCGCCGCTGCGTCCCCGACCCCGACACGGGGCTTTATTTCCTTAAAGTTCTTAGATAACACTTGCAAAACCTTTTGATATTTTTGTTTGTTACTGCCTGGGGGAAGAATGTTGCTATTGTGAATAATTCTTTTGCTGCCTGCGTTTTTCTTTCTTTTTTCAAATGGTTTTTTTTTTTTTGAACGTTTCTGATCCCACCGAGGGAATTTCCTTCTCTGATCTCTCTGCTCTCCTGCCCCCGCCCACCTCAGGTGCAGCTTTGAAGTGCCTCCCCTGAGCAGTGCTGGGGCCTTTGACAAAGCTTTGAGCTCTGTCTTGGGTCGTCTTTCAGGAACAGAGGAACCAGCCCGGGTTATCTCAGGTCGCTGTGGTGAAATGTGTCGCCCTCCTTTTCCTCACCCGGGTTTAAGTGCAGGTCCCCGTTCCATGGGGGTGTTGCTGTGACGGGTATTTTTATCCCCCTTCTCCTCTCTTTTCTTGCACGTGGTGGATATTTTTCCCAGCAGCTTTTCAGGGCGATACTCGAGCTGTGGGTTTTCAACCCTGAGTGTTGCATGGAGGGCAGATTTCCGTGTGGGCAGGATTTCGGGCTGGCTCTGGGTGTCACCTGCGTGGGTCTCCTCCCCTCAGCCTCTCCAGCTTTTCTAGGGGGTGTCTGGAGTGCAAACCCCCTCAGCCCAGAGGGCTTTGGTCCCTTGCTTTGCTTTCCTTCCCTGCAGGGGGAGGGATCCACACAGGAGCCGAGAGCCTGGAAGGTCCCTGGCCCTGCCATGGTTTTGGTGTGTCCACCCCCAGCACAGCCTCCATCCCCCTCTTTCCCCTTGCCCTCCTGTGTCCTGAGTGGCTCAGCCCACGTGCCACCCTCCAGGAGAGGGGCAGCCCTGGAGCCACTCTGCTGTGGAGTTCAGGGATGAATAGTTCTACTGCTGTTTAATAGAGGGAAACTTGACCTCCTTAAATGCTGCCCCGGGGCTGTTTGCCTTAATTAACCCGGTAACGTCCTGGAAAATGGAGTTTTGGCCCAGCTCGTGCAGCCAATACCTGGGAGTAAGGGCAGAGGAGCTGTGGGGCTCCTGACTTTAACCTGCTGTGGAGCCTGGAGACTTACACAGGCTCAAAAATGATGGGACAAATTAACGGGAGAGAAGTCACAGAAACGTGGGATGGTTTGAGTGGGAAGGGACCTTAAAGCCCACCCAGTCCCAGCACCCCTGCCAGGGACACCTTCCCCCAGACCAGGCTGCTCCAAGCCCTGTCCAACCTGGCCTTGGACACCTTCCAGATTCTCTGGGCAACCAGTGCAGGGCCTCACCCCCACACAGGGAAGAATTCCTTCCCCATATCCCACCCAACCCTGCCCTCTGGCAGTGGGAACCCATTCCCTGCATCCTGTTCCCTCCAGGCCCTTGTCCAAAGTCCTTCTCCAGCTCTCCTGCAGGCCCCCTTTAGGTGCTGAAAAGCCACAACAGGGTGTCCTCAGAGCCTTCTCACCCTGGAAATTGTGTTTCCTGCTCCACAACAGCAAACAGGAGCAGCCGGTGTCGGTCCCGGTGACTCCCGACTGTGCTGGCAGAGCCAGAGCCCCTGTGGCTGCTGCCTGCCCTGTGCCAGGAGTGCCATGCTGTGCCATGGGCTGGGACACCTCACAGGGACGGGCACGAGACCCCCCGGGCTCCAGCAGGGCCCTGGCACCGAGGGGTGCTGAGCTGAGGCCTCTGGAGATCAAAGCCCGGCCCCAGCCGGGTGTGC